GAGAAGCTGCCGCGGGAAGGCCGGCCGTGCCTTCGCCTTAAAGGTCCCGCCAGGCTGCTTCGCTTCGCGCTCCGCTCACACGCCCGGGGCCCTCTTGATCCGTCAATCGGCGCCAGCTGCCCCGGCCGCGGAATCCCAGCCTTCAAAAGTGGCCCCGCGCGGGGCGCGGAAGGGCGAGGTTGCGCGGCGGAGAGAGAGAGCGCCATGGCGGAGGGGGGCGCCGGGGCGCCGCGGGAGGCGGTGAGTACCGGGGAAGGGGGCACAGGCAGGCAGGCAGCCATAGCACCGGGAAAGAGGGCGACCTTCCGTCCGGGGACGCGCCATGGCGGAGGGGGGCGCCGGGTCGCCGCGGGATGCGGTGAGTACCGGGGAAGGGGAGGCAGGCAGCCATAGCACCGGGAAAGAGGGCGACCTTCCGTCCGGGGAGGAGCATGAGACCTTGTTTGGTTGAGGGGGGATAAGAAAGACCCTCCGGGCAGGCAGGTCTTGGGGAGGCTCCGTTCCGACGTAGGAGGCGAATACGCGTCCTCTGAAGGGGACGCAGGCGCTGCTTCAGGATGCCGGGCAGCCCCCTGGGTGGGGACACCAAGTCCCATCCTCCGGAGCCGAGCCCCAGCGGTCGCCTTTTGGGGGACGGGAGCAAATGATGCGCGACAGACAGACAGACAGACAGACACACACACACACAGAGAGAGAGAGAGAGAGAGCTCCTTTCCGAGAACGCGCAGCTGAGTTTGCGCCGGATCGCCAAACCCCGTTGCGCTCTCGCGTTCCAGGGACGGTTTTCCTCGAAGGGGCGCAGGTGCGATCCTGCGAACGAGCATCGTTTATCTCAGGGATCGGATTTGCGCAAGGCGTAAAAACGGATTCTCCTGTTTCGCTTACGTGGGAGGGCTCAGGTTTTGCGAATCCACCGCAGGATCGAATCGGGCGCTGGCTTTAACCATAGAGCCCTTCCATTTTCCCAGGATAATATTAGCCCCATCAAGGAGTGACTTGCTTCGCTGTTACTCCGTAGGAGAGCAGGGGAACACCGGATCTTGCCCCTCTCTGTTGTTCCCCTTGCAAAGGAAGTGTTTTGCTCACGTCTGGGGGGGGGGTAGAGATAAGATAAAACCAAAACGTTGTGGCACCTGGAAGACTGCTATTTTTCAATATGAGTTTTTCAGGATGCATCCACTTCTTCAGCATGTGAGTTGTTGGTCTTTAGGATGATAGAACACTTTCCCCCCCTTGCTGGATATGTTTGCATAAACTAAGGCAGCTGCTTCTTTGAAAACTGTCTAGACTCCTCCTGGAAACAAGGCCCAGGAATATTAATTGGTTTTCTTGTTAGGATGAAGCTGAACACAAAAATGTAGCTCTTATCTGCAACCTGCTTAGTTTGCATGTGGAGAGAGCAGGCACAGAGAGGGGAAAGGCTAGTAGATGCTACCTTATAAAGGAAGCTAAGAAACACCTGGATGAAGCCCTTATTTCTTCTTTTACCACCCCTCTAAATCTTTTCTTAAAATCTCAATCCTAGCTAAAGTCTAGCTACCTGTAAATAGGAGGTTCTTATTCTGCTCCTCTTCCCCACCTGGAGGTGGATGAAAGAGAAGAATCAACTCTTCTTTTTAAAACTTTAAATAGACAAATGTTTTCTCTATACAGTATTTAGTGCAGCAGGAGGGTCATTTTCTTCTTTCCATTGGTACACGCTTCATGGTTACATGAAGGGGGAAAAAGATCCTCCCAGTGCCTTAAAATCTGGCAGACACTAAAGCAGCTGGTTTCCCAGGAAATCTGTTAGCTTCCAGCCAACTCAGAGGAGTCTTAATTGATTTCTATGGAGCCTACTCCAAGGTAGGTAGACTGCTTCCCAGTGGTGAGAGCTGGTAATTTTATACATATCCAGAAGACTTGACTACTCATGTTTTCCCAAAAATAAGACACGGTTTTATATTAATTTTTGCTCCAAAAACACATTAGGGCTTATTTTCAGGGGATTTTTAAAAATGTACAGCTATTTACATTTATTCAAATAGTCATGTCATCTGGTTGCTGTACAATGGTGTAGGGCGGGGTGTCGCTTAACTAGGGCTTATTTTTGGGGTAGGGCTTATATGACAAGCATCCGGAAAAATCATTCTACATCTTATTTTCAGGTTAGGCCTTATTTTCAGGGAAACAGGGTATGTCTATGTGCTTAGCCACTAGTCTGCTTCCTGTTATTAAGCACTTAAAAACTACAGTACTGTTACCACCTTAGATTTCTTAACTGCAGTATCTTTCTTTTGACATCCAATTCATAACTATGCCCATTTGTTTGTTTGTTTGTTTACACATCTATACCACATCAATTAGTACTTGGCACTACTCTGAGTGATTTACATGCAAGATAACAGCAATGTAAAATAAATCTCAAATAATATGCCAAGAAGTAAACCCCATCTATAAACAGATAAACAGCAAAGGACTAATTTAAAAAAAAATCCTTTTGGAATTAGAGTGCCCATTTTAGTGAATCTGTTGAAGCTGCTTGGTCTGAGGAAGTAGATCGTAATGCACAATTTACAGCAGAATGCATCCACTTGTTTTAAAGGCAACACAATATTTTTATCTTACTTGTTTTGTCTCTGTGATGCATGCTGAAACCTAGCTCTCTCTCTTTCTCTGAAATCGGATGGCACTATGTAGAGTAAAATAAATGTTTCATTCACCTGATCATTTAACCTTCTTAGCCAGATATTTGTTGGCCATGTGTGTTTTGCCCAAACAAGGTGTGAGCCAGGTTTTTGGAGTTGAAGAGAGGGATACAAAACATGCATGTGTGCAGATACCCACTTCTCAATTGACCGGATAGCTTAGTGGTTTAGAGATCTGTCTACAGGACCAAAGATTAGTTCAGTTCCCCACTGTGCCTCTGCTGTTCAGCACAGCCAGCCTGTGTGGCCTTGGGGAAGCTGTACCGTCCCAGGGTTTCCCAGAACAGAATAACTACTACTTAGTACTCTCTACCTGGAAAACCCTGAAAAGGGTCAATGTTAAGTCAGAATCGATGGCCCATTATTATTGCACACAGCTCTTAACAGCTGTGTGCTTTCAGTATAGTGCGACAGATCTCAGGTAGCGAAATGGTGCAGACAGCTTATTATTACAGGTTGACCGGATGATAAAGACTCATAAAGTATTGTTCGCTTATCTCTAACTGCAATAAACGTTACATTACAAAGTGGCTGAAATCCTGTTGCTCAGTGTAGGAAGCTGTAGTAAGTCTCATTGATTCCACAGAACCAGAGCTGACTCAACAAATCCCCATGGGTTCAATGGGCCTACTCTTGCACAAGTTACTATGCTAAGCAACAGGATTCCAATCTATACCTGTAGGAGATTCAGAAGACCTGGCTTTGAATCCTTGCTTAGCTGTGGAAACCCATTGGGGGTGTGGAACTGGTAAAACCTCTCCTTAAGGATCTTTACTTTGAAAGCATTATCAAGGTGGCTGTAAGTCAGTTCTGACTTGATGGCACATAACAGAAAGTACAGTATATGCTACCATTCCAGTAGGCCAGTCAAAACAGGAATGGGGTGAACCAATGCTGTAGAGCTGATGGCCCTCCAGATGTTATTAGGCTCCAGTTCCTATCAGCACAGTCAGTGGTAAGAAAGGATGGGGGCAGGTCCCCCCACTTCTTGGGGTCAGATAATATCCATGGGGCCATCCATCTCAGATTCAGGCCTGGATCGGACACAAGAGCAGGTACGATGCTAACAAGAAGTGGGGTCATAACAGTAGAGGAATAGCATGGGGAATGTAAAGTTGAAGAAACCCAATCTGCAGGGCAGATATCTGAATGGAAGTCTGGGTGAGACCCTCATTCTGGACCTTTTTCAGTCCAAGAGCTGCAGTAAACAACTTTAGAAAAGGTTTGAATACAGTTCCTCTGCTTGCTTGCTCGCTCTGGAGGGAGCTGACAGCAGGATGAGACCCGTTCTCCTCTCTCTGCTCTAGATCCTGGAGGATTTCTTTATGATGGATGAGGAACCCTTGGTGGATAAAACAGTGGAAGAAGACGAAATTGACCTTTACATCAACTTGACCTTCACCTCATCAGGTAAAAAAAAAAACACCCGCCCTTATTTAAACTTCTATTCTGCAGGGTTTCTCCCACCCACCCCCCTTTTAATTGCAGTCGCTTACCGCAAAATAATTTTAAAAGTCCGAAGGAGCTAAAAATGAAAGGACAAAAAAAACCCCACCATTATTTAAACTTCTGTTCTGCAGGGTTTCTCCCAACCCCCCTTTTAATTGCAGCCGCTTACAGCGAAATAATGTTTAAAAAGTCCGACGGCACTAAACATGAAATGGACGGGCCACGGCACAAGAAGAGCCGAGGAAAGAAAAGCCACGAGCAGGGGCGATGGGGCCATGCATGCACCGAAAGCTATTTCTGTTTGACCAAAAAAAAAGTATTAAAAAGAAAAAAAATCAAAGGTGGGAGAAGTGGGGGGGTGAGGGTGGCCTAATGGTTAGAGCAGGAGGATTGGGGGGCAGCCGGGGTGGCTCACAAAACGACAGGGCAGGAAACTATCAAGGTGCCTGAGGATGATGGCCTGAAACAGTGCCCAAGCAAGCCCTTGTTTTGGGGAGGTGTGTATGTGTGTCTCTCACACCCCCAGTTCAGTCCCTCTCGGTTTTGGCAGCCTTGTGCTTCTTCTTCCTCTTCTTCTTCCTCCTCTTCTTCTTGCTCTTGCTCTTCCTCTCCTCCTCTCGATTCCTCTTCCTCTTGCGCTTCCCCGAGGAGGTGGAAGAGGAGCTGTCGCTGCTGCTGTCGCTGCTGCTGCTGGTGGTGCTGCTGGTCTCGTCGTCGTCGTCCTCGAGGAGCCTCCGGGTGGTGCTGCTGGTGGTGTCGTCGTCGTCGTCGTCGTCGTCGTCCTCGAGGAGCCTCCGGAGCTGCTGGATGCGGCCCTCTCGCTCGTGGCGGCGGGTCTCCCTCAGCAGGTCGTACATGGGGTCCTCGTGGGCGACGCGGAACTGCTCGAGGCGCTGGTTCCCTCGGATGAAGAACGGGCACTCCTTGTCTCCCGTGCGGTGGCCGTAGCGCTTGCACCGCCAGCACTGCATCACCTTCACCTCCTGGCCGAGGGGCATCCAGAGGCCCTTGGTGGGCGCCCGGGCCAGGAAGCGGCGAGCCCCTTCGTTGCCCGGCACGTCCGGGATGCAGTCCTCGGGCTTGGCCTCGTCCGCCGCCTCCTTCACCAGGCCCGGAGGCAGCTTCTCGTAGAAGGACTCCAAGTGCTGGAGCGCCTGCAGCTGCTGAGCCTCCCGGCGCTCCCGTTCACGACGGCGGCGGCGGCGGCGCTCCGGCTCCCCGGGGTCTT